GAATGAAACCAGCCCATTTCTCTGATCCCTGAAGATCTGAGGGATTGACAACTCGAGACAGATGGTCTGCTGTTCTGGCTTCAAGGTGAGGCCAGAACCTGCACCTAGGTGAAAATTCTCCTTGCCAGGATTTCATCGAGGCTTTTCTGCAACACACCTCAAGCACCTCTCTGTTGGAGGAATTTTGATAGCAGGTACTTAGGGTTATGGATGGGGGAGGGATATGAGCCTGGCATCATGAACTTGAAGTAAGACATGGGGCCGACTTGGATGGAGTATTCCAGTAGGTTGTGCATTGGCTGAGGCTGGTAGGCATGGCTGGGGGCAGGACAGCTTCTGTTTCTTTGGCAGAAACACATGCTAGACTTGCTTTCTGCTTCAGCACTTCTTTTCCCATTAATCACATTAAAAAGATCTGAGAGACCACATTTGCTTTTTTGGAAATATGATTCCTGATAATATAAGGAGGGGTCATATTATAAGATATTAAAGCAAATAACAGAATGAAGTCAGAAACATAACTACCTTCCTAGGGCTTGCCATTACTGATGTTATTCCCTCTTCACAATGTAAAATAATAATCTAAGAACATTCCGTGTACCAACATATGACAATATTAAAAAGCTTATAACATATTTTAATGAAAATGTGATAAAGACATTTTGGGAATTGCCATCAGTCCCCAGACTTCCTTTTAGTATGAGTGAGGTGGGCAGATGCGGAAGGAATAACCTAGAAATACATGTGGTTTTTATGATTGGAAGAGGGGATATATGAGAGCATCTTACCACAGTGCTCAGCCTGAGTAAGCTCCCAGTAAGCGGCCAAAGAAACACATACTAAGCCTCAAAACAAAGAAACCACTGTGCAATACTATGTCTCAGTACAGTTGCCCATGGCGTTTGCTGTTTAAAATGCTCCTCTCTTCCATTATCCAACTTGGCTAACTCCTTCCCTTATTCAGAATCCACTCTAAGAAGCCATAGATGACTTCCTCAGGCACTGTCTTCAATAAACTCAGACAGACCTTTCCAACTTACATACTTTCTCACCACTCTAGTGGTCAAAACACTGTGTTATTTTTGATTATTTGTTGCTTATCACCCTATCATACTTTAATAACTCTATTTCTAAGTGAAGATTTAAATAATTTAATAGAATTTACCTGAAATTTGACATCAAAAGAAGTGGGATCTGGCCACCTTTAAATATATTATCCCATTTAAATTAATGTCTGTATGTAGGACAAGGCAGGGGTGAAGTTACTTTTTTTCCCATGTGGGTATCTAGAGGTTCCAGCACCATTTGCTAAAAAGGAGCTTTATTATGCAAGAAATGCATTCATTCAAGAAAAATTCAAAAAGAAAGAAAAAGATATGTGGAAACCCATCACTCTATGGTAGTTGCCATTTTACTGAAGTTTATTTTATATATATGTATGTAACTCTATCTTGTTTTCATGTTACCCTGTCTCCCTCTCTCTTAAAATAATACCATTTCTTCAGTTATAACATGCCAACATTTAAATTTTAATATTTGTGAAACAGATTTTACAACTGTTTTACAAACAATAAACACGCCTCTTTGTAAGCCAGATAGAGAAACAGACTATAACACGTTGTAGCCAGGGCACGGTGAACTCAACCATGTGTGAAGGTTTCTGTTTATTTTACCACCGTCTCAGCTGAGCTCTCCTTGGAAGTGTCAAATATGGTTAAAATTTAAGTGGAACCTAAATCTCTATTTGTCTGAAACAATTTTTAAAGCCCTTAAAATGAAAGTTCTAAAAACATTTATTTTCAACAATGAAAGAGTTATTGGTGTTAATTTTATCCTTCCACCAGAAACAAGTATCAAAAAGAACAAATATATGTAAAAGTTCTTTCAGATATTGGCCATGGAAATAATTAAAATTGTGATTTTTGAGATCAGGAAAACAAATAAGTTGAGTCATATGATTACTCTATGGTTTTTGTGTTTATTTTTTAGTTTTCTTCTGGTGGCATTTTATGGATCTTGTTGCAGAGAGGAAGAACTGAAGCAGGGAATGGAAGAATTGTTGAGTTGAGAATGCAGAAATGGTAGTTCAGACAGCTCAAGTGAATGAAATTTGAAAAACAGAGTACCAAAGAGAAAAAAGCTTTTTAGACAAAGAGATTCTATCTTTGTATGGATAGGTCCCACTGAGTCTGTTGCTGAAGTCTAAGTTTTAAATGCACAAAGTAAAATTTTACAAAATTTGCCAAAAAAAAAAAAAAAAAAATCAGAGAAGCTGTAAGCTAATCAATTCCCAGAGCACATCCATGTTTGGAAGGCAAACCAACCAGAGCAAAAAAGACCTTAGTGAGTGCCCAGATTATTTAGTAGAGGCTCCAGAAGAATCACATTTTATATGTGGGTTAAATTAAGCCTTGAGTAAAGGTTTATCCAGACCTTCCCCAAAAAACTTAAAATCAAGCTTAAAATAATCATGGGGATCCACAAATCACTTAAATCCCTCTCAAAACAAAGTTTTTAGATGGTCTTCAAAGAAAATGACAAAGTGTAATATTAAACCTTCAACTACAGGCTGGGTGTGGTGGCTCATGCCTGTAATCCCAGCACTTTGGGAGGCCAAGGTGGGCGGATCACGAGGTCAGGAGTTCAAGACCAGCCTGATCAGCATGGTGAAACCCTGTCTTTACTAAAAATAGAAAAATTAGTGGGGTGTGGTGGCACACACCTTGGAATCCCAGCTACTCAGGAGGCTGAGGGAGGAGAATCATTTGAACCTGGGAGGCAGAGGTTGCAGTGAGCTGAGATCACGCCAATGCACTCCAGCCTGGGAGACAGAGCGAGACTCTGTCTCAAAAAAATAAAATACAATAAAAATAAAGAAATAACAACATAATGTCATAACATCCAGACTTTAATCAAATATCACTAGCTTACAAAGAAGCAGGAAACTGTGGCACATACCAGACCAACAAAAACCAATGCAAATGAAACTAGTAATTACACAAATTATGGAACTAGCTAACCAAGACTGTAAAACTGTTAGGAGAAATATACTGAAAGATGAAAAGGATAACATGAACATAAGGATATTCATGGACCCTTTTTGGAAAATAACCTCATGGAACTTCTAAAGCTAAAAGTTATCCAAAATAAAAAACTTACTGAGTGATCTTAATTGAATATTAAATACAATGGATTAAAATATCAAAGAACTTGAAGTCAGGAAATAGAAATTATAGAAATCAAAGCACAGATACAGATATAAAAAATACCAAAAAATGTTTTTAAAAGCTCAGTGCCCCATGGGACAACATTATATTCACCTATATTATATACAAAAGTGGAAGAGAAAAATATTTTAATAAATAATGACAAACATTTTCAAAATGTGTTGAGAATCATAAACTTGTATTTTAGCCATCTGAAGATACAGGATGGATCCCAACTCAAAATTTTATTTAAATATCAAGACTGGTTATGCCTCACACATTCTATGAGATTGTGAAAAGATTTATTACTCACAGAACAAAGCACCTAAGAAGAGTAAGGTAGGTTTCCAAAGCTGGTCTGGAAATGGTGTTAATTTTATCCTTCCACCAGAAACAAGTATCAAAAAGAACAAATATATGTAAAAGTTCTTTTAAGAAGTTCTTGGAAGAACAGGGGAAAAAAGGAAGCTGGCTTGGGGATTTTACTAAGAAGTGAGGAGGAGTAAAGTTTCACCAAAAAAGGGGGCACTCAGATTTTCTTATCAATTTTACTATAGGCAGGCAGAAGAAGAAGGAATCCAAGGGATTAAAAGCTCTCAGCACTGAAACTGTAAACTGTAGAATGAAACTCTTTATTAGAATCCACAAATCTAAGAAACTTAAGAAAACCTAAGCAGGATAAGCCCAGAGAAAGCCACGCAGAAGCACATTATAATCATATTTCTACAGAACAATGTGTGAAACAGAACCTTTTTAAAAAGCAAGAGAAGAAAGACACATTATAAACAGAGAGACAGATATATAAGAATGACTGCAGACTTCTTGTCAGAAGGAATGCAAGATAATACACAACAGACCAAGATCTTTAAAGAACCAAATGAAAGAAAACCTCGCCCCAATCCAATCCAACCAAAACAAAGCTAAAATTCTCCTTTCAGCAAAATACTTCTTTAAAAAATGAGGGCAGAGAAACATCTAGATCTGTTTTTGGTAACAGCCAAGTAGCATCATATGTGACCAACTTTCCTGTAACTGACAAGTATAAACTCTGAACATAACATAAAAGCACAGATACCTGAAGGCATTGGAGAATTCACAGAAGCACTAAGATTAGGAGGGGTAGTGCATAGCCAGTGGAGAGAATTATAACGGAGAGTTGTCATTGTCACAGTTTTTGGCATGGACCATGGGGAAATCAGACACAAATGGAAAATAAGAAGAAGAAAAGGGAAGAGAAAAGAGACAGAAGAAAAGGAGTCAGTTAGAAACTCTCAACATTGTGTCTGCCTACATCTCTGGCTGAAAAACCAAAAGCAGCTCAGCCAAAGAAAAATAGTATCTTAACTGGGATCAGAGCTAAACAAAACTAAACAAAGCAAAACATAATTTTCAACTTGAGTCCAGCTGAGAAAATTTTTTGCTTGAACAAACATGACATATTGAGGGGGAAAAGATAACAGAAATCAGAATTTATAAAAGAAAAAATCTTGTTTTTCATTTTTTTATTTTTTGAGACAAAGTCTTGCTCTGTCACCCATGCTGGAGTGCAGTAGCAGGATCTTGGCTCACTGCAACGTCCGCAACCCAAGTTCAAGCGATTCTCCTGCCTCAACCTCTCGAGTAGCTGGCATTACAGGTGGCTGCCACCACACCTGGCTAATTTTTGTATTTTTAGTAGAAACGGGGTTTCACCATGTTGACCAGGCTGGTCTTGAACTTCCAACCTCAGATAATCCACCCACCTAGGCCTCTCAAAGTGCTGGGATTACAGGCATGAGCCACCATACTTGACCAAAAATATTTTACTTTTGATGCCACAAAGTAGATGGCAATGCCTTAACTACATGTATGCGTGGTGTCAGGCTGAGGGCCCCTACCAGCTTGGTCAAAGGGAGTGCTAACCTTCTCTCCTTTCATGTGACACAGAAATCAGAATTTTCACAACTCATTGCTCGTAATAATACCTAGGATAGCCCCCCAGCTAGACTGGTGGGAAAATTAAATATAAGTTGTAAATTTGTAATGTCTGGAATGGAAGAGAGGGCATCATGAAAGATACTACAGAAATTACAAAGGATAATAGGAAAATATTATGAATAATTCTATTCCAATAAATTTTAAAAATTAGATAAAGTGGAAACATTTCTTGAAGACTAATTTAAAAAACTAACCTAAGCAGAAATAGAAAAAAAAATAGACTTCTGTCAATTAAAAAAATCATATTCATAATTAAAAACCTTCTGAAAAAGAAAACTCCTGGCCCAGATGGCATCACTGGTGAATTCTATCCAACATTTAAGAAAGAAATAATTGCTATGCTACAAAAATTATTTCAGAAAATAGAGGAGTAAGAAACACTTCTCAACTAATTTTATGAAGCCGGAATTACCCTCTAGCAAAACTAGACCAAGGCTTTACAAAAACTAAGAAGTGTAGACAAATATGCTTCACGGACACATACCACATATTACATGCTTTAAAATTTATAAGCAAATTCAGTGTGTGCATGTGTATGTATATATGTAGCTATATAAAATGCCATGTCATGGCTAAGAAAATGCAAAGATTTAGCAAGTAAATGCAAAGTTGGTTTAGCAGTCAAAAATCAATTAGTGCCATTTACTGTGTCAGCAGAATTAAGAGAAAATGCCTATAGTCATCTCAATAGATGCAAAAAAAGTATTTGACACAATCCAATACCAATCGAGAGCAGTAAATGAATCAATGTAAAAATCACCACCTAAGACAGGTACAATAATAATAAAAGAAGATGGAATGAAAAACAAAAAAGAATAAAAATGTAAGGTGAAACCAGGATAGTGAGAGGGGTAGAGGCTCTGAAAGGGATGTAGAGAAGGTGAGGGAGAACCAGGAGTTGAGCAAGTCGCAAAGAAAAAAAAAAGAGAGAAAAAATGTGAGGAGAGGTGTGAGGCAGGGAGAAGGGAGAAAGGTGAAGACTAAGGGGATTAGAGGCATCTAAAGGATTTTGAAGGCTCTGAATATCTAGAGTTTTTGTTTTTATTTCATAGTTTCTAGTGACCACTGCAATGCTTACACTTTCTAATATGCCATTTCCTAGGTGTCACTATCCTGATGAAACCTGTCCCAGAGCAGCGTTTCTCAAAGTATGGTCTTCACACGCTTGCAGCAGAACCACTTTAGCTGTTATTGTTAACGGGTCAGATCCCCTGCTTCCACCCCATCTCTCCTGACTCAGAATCCCTGGGGTGGAATCTGGTAATTTCAATGTTAATGTGCACCCCTTGGGATCCTGATGCACATGAATGCCTAGAAGCAATTTCTTTCTTTTTTTTTTTTTTTTTTTAAATTATACTTTTAGTTCTAGGGTACGTGTGTAGAACGTGCAGGTTTGTTACATAGGTATACACATCGTGGTGGTTTGCTGTACTCATCAACCTGTCACCTACATTAGATATTTCTCCTAATGCTCTCCCTCTCCTAGCCCCCTAGCCCCTGACAGGCCTCAGTGTGTGATGTTCCCCTCCCTGTGTTCATGTGTTCTCGTTGTTCAACTCCCACTAACGAGTGAGAACATGTGGTGTTTGGTTTTCTGATCTTGTGTTAGTTGGCTGAGAATGACGGTTTCCAGCTTTATCCATGTCTCTGCAAAGGACATGAGCTCATCCTTTTTTATGGCTGTGTTGTATTCCATGGTGTATATGTGCCACATTTTCTTTATCCAGTCTGTTATTGGTGAGCATTTGGGTTGGTTCTAAGTCTTTGCAGTATCTAGAACTAGAAATACTATTTGACCCAGCAATCCCATTACTGGGTACATACCCAAAGGATTATAAATCATTCTACTATAAAGACACATGTACATGTATGTCTATTGCAGCACTATTCATAATAATAGGGAAGCAATTTAAACACATAAACACATGCAGAAAATATACAACAACAAATCACTTAATATGGCCTCTTCAAGTGTTTCTACAAACCAAGTGAAATGTACCATTTAATCTATATGCTGCAGACAATTTCTACAGGGAAGGCGAACTCCAACTTTTAATGCATGAATACCCTGACTGCTTCGGGTGTTCTTCCATCTTCCAAGCTTACGTCCCTTCCATCTCCTCCGTAAATCTAGTCCCTGGTGAGCATTTCTCTCCTGATCTCCTGTAGCACTCATTGTCTGTGTTCTCCCTCCAATTCCCCCATAGAGTATGCCCCGGGTGTTGTTGTAGGGTTGTTTGTGTTGTTTGCTCTCTCTTGACCTCTGTGGAGGCTCCTGTAGCCCTGAGGTTAGCCGTATTGCTCTGCCTATGCTCACCTCCCTTCGTCATATCACCACCCTGGAACAGCTGATTGATGCTCACAGACAGCAGATCATTGGTAGTCATTGTTAGCTGTTCTGTTTACAGAATCTTGGTTATGGGTCATTCAATTCACCAAGACTCCCAACCAAGCAAGATACTGGCATTTCTCTGAGTCCTCTCTCCAATGCCCAAGTCACATAGCTCTTTCACGCTACGTATCTTGCAAATCAGTCCTCCGCACGCCATCTTCATGCAGTTGCCTTGGTTTAGCTCTCATCACTTATCATCAGGATTGAAATTTCCAACTATTCTCCCTGCTTTCCTTCCCTCCGTAGTCTTCCTCGCCAATCCTGTCTGCACAATTGCTACAAAAGGAATCTTTTGAAAACATCCCTATGGTCTTCTCACTCTCTTCTTCGAAGTGCTGTAAACACTCCACTTATTTGTGTATCGCAGCTGGAGGGTCCCTGCCTAATGTGGAGCTTCTTTTTGTCCTGACTCCACACCTCTGGGTCATGTACCACGTGACAGTATAGCATGAGGAGCTCAGTTTCTGGAAAATAAATTAAAAAATAAGACCTGAGTTTGAGTCCCACCTCCATTACATATTAGCTATTTGACTTGAACACATTATTTAATTCTCAAAGCCTCAATTTATTCTATATTAAGTAGGCATAATAATAGTACATGTGTTGTAAGGGGATTTCAATGAATAATTGAAATAGTGCTTGAAAGTGCTTAACCTAGCCCTGGCATATATGCTGAGTAAATACAAGTTATTATTGTTATCTCACGCTGCTGTGTCTTTATGCAATTCCTTCTGCTTAGAATGTCCTTCCCATCCTTGCCTATCTAGAACACTCCTACTCTTTTTTACTACTCAACTGCTATCTGTTCAGCTCCTGCCTTCTCTGAGAAGCCTAGAGATTATTCACACTATCAGGCATTTTAAGTTTAGTTTTTTCAACTATCTAACTGTCTCCAGTGTAAGAATGCTAAAATATATGCCCTTCCTGATAAACAACAAGGGAAGGGCCCTCCCCTATATTTATTTCTGTATCTTCAGAAGTTAGGACAGTAATGCTGTGACTTTGTATTTTCGGTCAGTTGATTGAAAGAATGGATGAATGATTTTTCAGTGTCCTTGTCTGTCTACCAGGGGTCAGTCCCATTTCTAAATATATTTAAAATACCATTAAAACACACAAGGTATTCAGGGCAGAAGGAAATTAATCATTTCTCTCCTTCAAAATACAGCTTAATTGGAGGATTGGGTAAATAGAGAAATAGTAATCCAAGTGATTGTCGTTGTTCCCTGGGGAATGTTCCTTCATCCATATAAATCCCAGCCATCTCCCCCAGTGTGCCCCACACAGCCGGGCCACACATTCATCTTTATGTTGTGGAAATGATCGTGCTGCCTGAGGGTACATGTGAAAGTGAGATTCATACTTCAATTCTAGATTGGAGGAAGCTGCTACCCAGCTTGTGAAAGCTCTTCTAAAAGATTCTTCTTTTTAATTGGAGCACAGAAAACTATGCTAAGCTTTTCTTATTGTAGGTTTCCTAGTATGTTGGACCGTGATAATTTTGGGAAATGTGTTTATCACCCAGTTTAGGGCAAAGCATTAGGTTAAAAGACCTATTGTTTGTGACTTGGAAGCATGGATTTCCCAGGCCGCTGCAAGCAGGCAATCCTCTGAAAACAGTTTTTGTCTATTGCCACACTGCAATCACTTGCTTCATTGTTGAAATTCAGTTTGAGAAGAAAAAAAGAAAGAAAGAAAGAAAGAAAAGAATAGGAATTGTCATCTGCAGCTGCAAACTCCAAAATCTTCTGGGGCTCAAGACACATTAGAATTGCTGAAGCCATTAGAAGAATCTTTTTTCATTGTGATCGGACTTTTTCACCTTCAGTTCACTTCTCAAGTCGGCTCAGATCCATGAGAATCATGCTTTTCGTTATCTAAACCATATCCTACAATCTATGATTTTTAGCCTTAAAGCAGGGTGTTTTCTTTTTTTTTTTTGGATAAATCCAGGACAAGTTTATCACATTACTCTCTTGATCTCTTCTTTATAACTGTTTTTCACTTTTTAGCAAATAACTGGATTTCATATGAATTTTCAAGGCTAATAACTGATAGCAAAATAAGAATTAGATAAAATATTTTAATTGCACAGAAGTTCCTTCTCCTCGCTGTCTTGCTAATTGTAGATTCCCTAATTGAGAATCTGTGGGTGGGTATCTGCCCCGGAAGCCTCCTATGTGTCAAGACATCTGGTTCACTAACCATCACGCTGCCTTTCAGTGACGACCAACTGCAAACAGCACTTCTCCCTGGGACCCACGGCTGAGAGGCAGCCTTGCTTAGATCTGAAGTTGGCTGACTGCGGTATTAGGGAAATGGGCAAAGAAGGGTGCCAGGCTGCTGGCTTTTATGTTTGCAATTGAGTTTGGCTGAGGCGGGGTAGACCTTCTAAGCACACAGCCTGTGAGTTTTGTCATCCCATTGCTATCTTTTTGAATAATAATTTTCAAAAAGAAAATGCTTTGTTGCATGGAATATGCCTGTCGAGTTCAAGCAAAACTGTATTTGAATAAAGGTGTTCAAAGGCAAACAATCAGTCCTCTCCTGTCTTC